CATCTGGGGGCTGACTGACGTCTAGCCTGCCTTTAAGCCAGCCTCCTCACTGCCAGCCAGAGGCCTGAGATCTGGGGCCACGCTTCCAGTGACTGATCGCGGCTGGGCTCAGGGCTCACCTGCTCCTCCGTCCTCCCACAACCTCTCTGCTCAGCTGTTGGTCACCACTTGCTTCCTCTGCTTTTTGGCTTTCCCCAGTTGGGCGGGTGTCTCCTGCCCTCTCACCCTGAGCTGTCTGTGGGGTACACCGGCAGGCCTGCCTGGTCTCATGGACCCTGGGAGGGAGCCCAAGCGTGTGCCCAGTGCAGGCTGTCCCTGGGCCCACACACAGACCCGCTGCCCCCGCAGCCTGCTGGGTTTGGGGACCAGAGACAGGCCAGATGTATTTAAGCCCATGAGGCTTTGCATCTCAGTACTTTTCCTGGGACTCTTACTGGGCAGTACTGAGTACATGCCGCTAGCACAGTCATCACATGGATGTCCTGTGCCAAAACCATGTTCAGGGACCAGAGAGGGGCACGGAACACACCCAGATGACTCTGCATTTCTGAAATTTTCTCACATGGAATTATTTTGCTAATACCTTCCTTTTGTGATTCTATCCTATATGGAAAGCCTCTATTCAATCTTGTCAGATGGCAAAGTTCACAGACCACTTTCTGTTTCTAAGACCGCCGGCCTGTAAGCTGCTTGCCCGCTCTGCAGATGGCTGTGTCTCCGCAGCCTTCCTGGAAGAACAGCCCTCAAGGGCTGCCCGCATCAGAAGGAGGTGGCCGGGGAGGAGGGAAGGGGGAGGAAGTGGGAATTGCCATGGCCTGTGATACAACTACAAACCCAAAAAGCCTTGCCCCTCTCCCTGACTTACCTCCCCCAACTTGAAAAGTGTGAGGCCTCACAGACATCGTCTGCTGATGCCTGAAACTCCTGTATTCCACATCCAGAGACAAGCGCACAGTTCAAGTGCCTGGGCAGGTGAGGGTGTGGTTCACCCGCAAGAGTGGTCTCTGGCGTTAGACTCTCTGCGTTCCAATCTGGGCTTTGCCACCTTCAATACTGCCTCACAGGGTTATTGGGAGGATTAAATAATTTGAGTAACGCACCTAGCACGGTAGAAATGTTCAATACATGCCACTTTTAAATTAAGGATTAAGTAATGGACATCAGACAGTTTTCTAGGGAAAAAAGTTAATCATGGAACTAGTTGCTTCTGCAGCTGTGCCCCATCAGGGAGCAGTAACGCACCCCCACCCTCATCCCCCACCCCGTCATTGTTTCTTTCTGCCAGACCTGCCCCACTTCCTTGGTTCTTCCGGGGATAGCAGCCCCTCCCTTCAGGGAACTGCACTTCCCATTCAGATGAAGCAGCTTCAGCACACACACGCCTCACACATGGCCGGCTCTTCTGGGGAGATGTGGAACTTAATCTAAAATTACCACATTTTGAGTCATCAGTAATGTTCCCAGTGGCCTACTCAAGGGATATGGCCACAGGGATTCTTCATTCTCTTTATTCTAAGCTCTGATACATTTAATGGCTTTAATCGCTTGAGTGCATTTCATTTCTAATGTATAATAATAATATTGACCATTATTGAGCTGTGCAAAGCCCTTGATAAGCATCATTGCGTTCAATTATCCTGTTTGGCCCTGTTATAAGCCTGTACGTAGGCTTCTCAGACACAGTTTATGACATGTGAGGCAGCTGAGGGTGGGTAGAATTGCCCAGGGTCGCACAGCCAGTGAGTTGTGGGGCAGAGGTGCCATCAGACCTTAATTTATGAGAGTAGCATCCAGACCTTTCAAAGTCAAGCATAAAAACTGGAACTAATCTACATTCTCAGAAGGGTGGAGGAAGACGGGCTATGCGATTGGACTGGAGAGTGACATCACAGCATCGAGAGCTCCGTGGACACAGACAGCAAAGTAACGCCAGAAGACACGCTGAAGTCAAAGCATTAAATTGTGTACACAAGCTATATATTCATGTCTTACAGCCTGTTCACACAAGCGGCTCGTCAGTGCCTCAACCTGACAAGGATCTGAAGGAATAAGAGAATGCAACTGGTACTGCTTTGTACCCAATCAGTTAATGAGTCTAGGCAGTGATCGTTGGTGGCGCTCTGGAGACAAGCAGACATGCGTACCTTCTAATGGAAATACACACCACTTCTGAAGTAGACCTAAAAAAAAAACACCCCTAAATCTGATCAGGCTTCTCTATCTACCAATTTATAAGAAATACAGTGGCAGAAGGCAGAGGGCAGAGGAACTCACTGGAAAATACCATGAGGATGGATGTAAGAGACTAGACCCAGACAGTGAAGCCGCAAGACAAACGACCTGGTTTCTTTAAAACATAAAAAGCAAATGGATGTAAAAAGGGACAAAGACAGAGAATTTAGGTTCAAAAAGATAGAAATTTCATGCTGTGAACCTTATTTAGATCAGATACAAGCAATTTTTTAAAAACATAAATGTAAATTCTGGTTGGATCTGTAAAGACATGAAGAAATTATTGTCACTTTTTTTTTTTTTTGAGATGGAGTTTTGCTCTTATCACCCAGGCTGGAGTGCAGTGACACAATCTCGGCTCACTGCAACCTCCGCTTCCCAGGTTCAAGTGATTCTCCTGCCTCAGCCCCCTGAGTAGCTGGGATTATAGGCGCACATCACCACACCCAGCTAATTTTTGTATTTTTCACAGAGACAGGGTTTCACCATGTTGGCCAGGCTGGTCTCAAACTCCTGACCTCAGGTGATCGCCCACCTCGACCTCCCAAAGTGCTGGGATTACATGTGTGAGTCATTGTGCCTGGCCTATTGTCATTTTTAATTCAGATTGATATGTGCCTGCTGAAATATTTATAGATGAAATGTTCGGGATTTGCTTCAACATAATGCAGGGAAGGGCCAGAAGGAGTGTAGATCCACAAACAAGACTGGCCCTTTATCTATTGCCGTGTGAGAAATCACCCCACAGCCGTAACTTCTTTATTTTATAATTTATCTACTGTAGTCTAGAGCTTTGATGATGGTTTGGAGGCTTGTCCCATGTCATCAGCTTCAGTTAGAGATCATCAGACAAGAGTCATGTTGGATTATGGGCCCACCTTATTCCAGTATGACTAGTTAATCTGCAATGACCTATTTCCAAATAAGGTCACATTCTAAGAGTCCAGGAAGGACATGAATTTTGAGGAGACACTGCCCAACCCAGTACATTCTTCATGTGTGTCTGTTCACATGGCTGCCTGAGTCCCTGTGACATGGCAAGGATCCAAGAGAGTCCAAGGCAGAAATTGCAACTTGCTTTATCAGAAGTCACACACCGTCACCTCCACTGCATTGTATTCAGTGTAGAATTGACTGCACAAGGGCACAAATATCAGGAGGCAGAGAGGATTGAGGGCCACTCTGGAAACTGGATACAGGACTCACATCCCTCCACCTGAAAAATACACTCTGCCCTCCCCAGGCCCCATGTGTCCATCCCATTGTGGCGTCAGCTCTGCTCAGCTGCTGGGGCACAATGCCTGCCAGCTTTGTAGAAGCTCTTTTTTGTTCATCTAAACAGTTGTCTGAGGCATGACCCCAGAATTTTCTCTTAACAAAACTCTTAACAAGAGACTTTACAAGCTATACCCTTGATTTTCTCTTTATACCATATTTTTCTGACAGGACCCTGGGTTTTATTTTTGCCTGGAAGCCATTTCTTAAATTTGGCATTATTTGCCATCTGGAAGGTCTGAGAATTTTGAAGCCAGCCTGACTCCTTTATGTTTAATCGCCCTCTCTTTGACTTCTTTCTCTGACATTTCTCCTTTCTCTTTACATAAAAAGAGGAGGAGCCAGACAATATCGTTGACCTTCTGCCTGGAAATTTCCTGATAAGTCACTGGGTTTATTAGGTACATTTTCTATTTTCTCTCTTGGAAGATGTATCTTGCATAACAGAACAGAAGTGGGGGAAAACCATTTTGTCTTATCTGCTTTAGCACATGTGCTCTTTCTTTTGCTCTCTTTCTCACTTTCTCTCTACACACACACACACACACACACACACACACACCTGCTGCATCATTTGAAAATAAGCTGTAGACACTGGGACCCCTTACTCCTACACATTTCATATGCCTCTTCTCAAAATAATAACCTGCCACATAGTCATAATACCCATATTGCACCTGAGAAAACTAACAATGAGTTTGATAATATTACGTGGCATCCAAGCCATACTCAGTGTTCCCCCAATTGACTTTGAGGTCTGTATTGTTTTTCAATCAGGATCCAGTCTAAATACATATTTTATATTTCTTTCATCTCTGTCAACCTAGAACAATCCCCTCAACCTGTGTTTTTGTTTTGTTTCTAATGGCGCTTTCTTGGGACTCCAGGACTGTTGTATAGGGCTTCTCCCTTATGGGTTTGTCTGCTTCTTTCCCTCTGGTGTCATTTAACTTGTTCTGTGATCTCCTACTTCATATAAATGGGAAGTTAGGTTTACCCTTCAGAGCTGTGCTGTCCAATATGGTAGCTACTAGCCACACATGGGTATTTATTAATGAATTTAATTTGATGAGGATTAACTTAAATTTAAAAATTAAGTTCGTCGGTCTCACTAGCTTCATTTTGAGTGCCCAATGTTCACATGTAGCTAGTGGCTATGTATTGGGCAGTGCCCTTGTAGAACATTTCCATCCTCATAGAAAGTTCTATTGGATAGCACTGCTGTGGAGGTATCCAGGTGAAACATTTTTGATACGAGTACTACTTCAGTGATATTGGTACTTCATATTACATCGCATGAGAAGTGCTGGCTGGGAAGTCCTGTGTGCCCTGAGGGACTACCGTAAACTGTGCACATGTAACTTAGAGATACCACACTCTTCCCTGCTGTAGACATTCTTCTCTGGTCCTGTCAGCCTGGATGCTACATCCTGTGATGGAAAAAAAATTTCTAGGGAAAATAAAAATAATTTTAGAACTGCAAGGGAACTTTGGTATTATTTTATAAACAGCAGAGGAAACCATGTCCATAGACATTCAAGACTTGGCCAAGGTCACTGATAGCTAATTGGCAGCCAAGGATGATCTTCAACAAACACCTTCTTATCCCTGGTCAGACTCATACATCAGAGTTGAAGGAACTTGTGGCAACTGACATCAGTTGGTACTACTAACAATCATAAAATTATGAGTATTTAACAATGCTAGGCACTGTATCTAGCCATTACAAACATTACTTCACAAGATTCTCACACAGCCATCTCATAAGGAGGTTAGTAACAGAACGTCTGATGAACAGGAATTTATTCTTTCAGATAATAAACCTAGAATTGGCTCACTGCTTCAGAAGTTCAACAATAAAAACTGATGTCTCTGTGATTATGTTGGCCTTTCCCTCTTGGTCACAGGATAGTGAGTGCAGCTCCAGATATCACATCAGTGATCAAAGCAGGGTGAACAGGTTTGTGGCAATGCCAGCAACTCTAGTCCCATTTAGGAGAAAAGTGAAATCTTTCCCAGGGCCCCCAGTGTAGAGTTCTGTGTGCAATTCATCAGCTAAAACTGTGTCACATGATGCCCATGCTGCAAGGGAGACTGGACAAATGAAAATGATAGATGGCTTTTCCAGGTACTATAGAAGAATCAGGCAAGGCATCAGATTAGGAACAGCAGTTACGTAAACCAAGCAACAGTGGAATTGTTTTATCCTGATTTGGATTGGGGAACTGCTCACTGTGGCAGAATACCTCCCTGTGTTTACCCAGCTAGTGAGGGGCAAAGCTGGTTTGACTCCCAAGTTCATGGTAAGATTTGCTCACTGAAGAACTGTAAGGAAGACTCTGGTGTTGTTTGGGTTTGGGGCTGGTTCAAACACTTAAAGAATAGGTGAGGTCTGTATATCCTCAAAGGACAGGGAAGAGACTGACTCCAGAGTGATGCTGCCACCTAAATAATGAACTGAAGGCAATTCAAGAGGAGGGCTGTCTGAATGGTGTGTTGGGAATGAATACCTAAGAGAACTACTATTTTCTCCATTCAATATATGTTTAATGCCATGTTTCTTATACATATGCATTTAATGCAGTATGTATGCTATAAATATATGTGTACATATACATATGTATCTCTAGTGCAATATTTCATATACATTTTGTAAATACAGATTTGATGCTGTGTTTCATATTTTCTCCCTAACCCTCTCTTCTCTGTGAGAGCTTAATCCTGCCAGCCCTGGTTTTGCCAACCATGGACCCTTTCAAGAAGGTGGTTCGTGTAAGTGGTGAAGAACTCATGTAGTAAAAGAACAGAAAATGGGGCTGCTTTTTCTCCCTTCAAATTGGCAATTATATATGAACTAAATCATTATAATTACAATGCATGGTAATTACGGCAAATCATTGTCATTCATTCAAAAACCATTATTCATTATCATTCACTCAAAATCATTATAATCATTACATATATACATATAATTCCCAATAACACACAGTGTTGGCAAAGGCTCCAGGATTCATAATAGTTCTTCTGGAGGTAATATGTGTCAAAAGCCCTAAAATATGTACATATACTTGGACCCAGCAACTTAAATCCAATATTTTATTCTGAGGAAATAAATGTAGATGCACATAAAACATAGTGACGAGTACGCTCAGCAAAGTATTATTTATAATAGAGAAAAATTAGCAACAAAGCAAGCAAGAAAACAAATTGGAGAAATGTATCGATATCACAAAATTCAAAATGAAACAAAACACGTGGTAAAATTATAAAAGCAAAGAAATTATAAACACAAAATGTGTTTTTGTGTTTTCTGCAATGAGAAAGATTCATAGGGACCTCATTTCTATTTCTGAAGTGGGATGGGCGTACAGTGTGTTCATGTTAGTGTATTTGGTCTGCATCATTCACAATTATGCCAACAAACTGTGGGGCACCACAATAAAGGTTGATTTTTCGGTCGAGCCCCGGTCCTGGAAGTTGGCAGGAGATCTCAGCTTGACGCAGCCAGCCAGGGACCCACCCAGGCTCCGTCATCTTGCACAGCCTGGAATCTTCCGGGGTATCCTCCGTACCCAGGCTCCAGAAAGGGAAGGGAGAGCCCTTGGGGCCTGGCAGCACCGCAAGGCCAGGCCTGGAGGGACTCAGGTCTCCCGCATCCTGTTCCAGTGCCCAGCGCGGCCCCAGCTCGCTGCCAGGGCGCTGGGAATGGTGGGCCCAGAGGAGGCGGCGGGTGAGCCCCTGGCGAGGAGCAGCATTGCCTCCGCAGTCATGCGCAGGACACCCCCATCCTTTTCAATGGTGTATTTTATTTAAAAGTAAAAAACAAAATGGAAAGAGGGGGTTAAATAAACTGGAGCAGTTTAATCGGACTGGTATACAATGTAATCCTTAGCAGGGAAGAGGGGACCGTTGAAATACCATGTTGGAGAAAAACAGACTCCCGTATGGGGTCCCGGGCTGTTCACCAGGGTGGCAGGCCGTGTGCATTTCCTCTTTCTGCACCTGTCTCTGCTATAAGCACGAATTATTTTCATAGTTAGATAAAAAATAAAGGCATGGGTTTGGTATCGTGTCCGGAATTGGTGGGTTCTTGGTCTCACTGACTTCAACAATGAAGTCACGGACCCTCACAGTGAGTGTTACAGTTCTTAAAGATGGGGTGTCCACAGTTTGTTCCTTCAGATGTTCAGATGTGTCTGGAACTTCTTCCCTCTGGTGGATTCGTGGTCTCACTGTCAGGAGTGAAGCTGCAGACCTTCGTGGTCAGTGTTACAGCTCTTAAAGGCAGCGCCTCTGGAGTTGTTCCTTCTTCCCCGTGGTCTGGCGGGCTTCAGGAGTGAAGCTGCAGACCTTACCGGAAGTGAGTGTTACAGCCCATAAAGGCAGCCTGAACCCCTAGAGTGAGCAACAGCAACACTTACTACAAAGAGTTAAAAAACAAACCTTCCACACAGCGGAAAGGGACCAGAGCCGATTGCCACTGCTGGTCCCAGTAGCCTGCTTTTATTCCCTTATCTGGCCCGACCCACATCCTGCTGATTGGTCCATTTTACAGAGAGCTGATTGGTCTGATTTGACAGAGTGCTGATTGGTACCTTTACAATCCTTGAGCTAGACACAGAGTCACAGAGTGCTAGTTAGCTAGACAGAGAGTTAGCTAGCTACAGAGTACCAGTTGGTGTATTTACAAACCTTGAGCTAGACACAAAGTGCTGACTGGTGCCTTTACAGTCCTTGAGCTAGACACAGAGTCACAGAGTGCTAGTCCTCCAAGTCTCCACTAGGTTAGCTAGATACAGAGTACCAATTGGCGTATTCACAAACCCTGAGCTAGACACAGAGTACTGATTGGTGTATATAGGATCCTCCCGCTAGATATAAAAGTCCTCCAAGTCCCCATCCAGTTCAGAAGCCCAGCTGGTTTCACCCAGTGGATCCTGCACCAGGGCTGCAGGCGGAGCTGCCGGCCAGTCCCGAGCCTGTGCTCTTCAGCCCTTGGGCTGTCCATGGGACCGGGAGCCACGGAGCAGGGGGCAGCACCCGTTGGGGAGGCTCAGGCCTCGCGGGAGCCCACCGCAGGGGGAGGAGCTCAGACGCCGCGGGCTGCAGGTCCCGAGCCCTGCCCCACTGGAGGACCCAGCACAACTGCCGCAGCTGCTGGCCCAGGTGCTAAGCCCGTCACTGCCCTGGGCCGGCAGTGCGCGCAGCCCCGATTCCCACCGGCGCCTCTCCCTCCACACCTCTCGGCAAGCAGAGGGAGGGGGCCCCAGCCTCAGCCAGCCCAGAGAGGGGCTCCCACGGTGCCGGGGCAGGCTGAAGGGCCCCTCAAGCGCCGCCAGAGTGGACACTGAGGCCGAGGCGGCGCTGAGAGTGAGGGCTGCTAGCACTTTCTCACCTATCAGTATTAAATAAAGACCTTGAAGTGCTTGGCAGATGTCCGCTCCCGCAGCCGCCTTGGGTCCCCTGCTGCTGTCGGTGCCCCTGACTCAGGCGGTCCCTATCCCGAGGCACAAGGGACGGCCGGGGAGGGCCCGCGCTCCTCCCGGGTGGACGGGGACGCTGGCCTTCCCGGCCCGGGAGGTCTCCCATCCCAGCCTCCCGCCACGCCACTGCGGCCCCGCCTCGTCCGAACCCCTCCTCCCTAGGGACGCGCAGGTCAGGGACACCCGTCCACTTGCGTCTGCTATCGCCTCAGGGCCTGCCGGTGCCCCATCCTCGCTCAGCTGCAGCACCCGGCCCAGGCCTGCACTACGCCGGGCTGGGGGGCCGGTCTCGGAGGAGAGCGTGGCGAGCGGGCGCAGGACAGAGGAGGGGGAGACGACGCCCCAGGCCTTCCCTCCCCAGGCGCAGGGGCACCCTAAAGACAGCTGAAGATTGGATGAAAAGCCGCCCCACCTGGTGACTGGCTGGGGTCACCTGAAAGGAGCCAGCTGAGCTCCCACCAGGTTCCTGCAGAGGGGTTCTGGCCACGGAACCTATCCCGGCAGAGGAGAGCAGCGAGCAGCCTGGCCTCCTGAGGAGACGGGGAGCCCTCTACCCCAACGGACTGTGCCCTCTATCGCCCCTGCCTCGGTAGGTTCTGCCACCCTCCTGCGGCCCCTGCAGCCCCCTCAACACGCCTACTTCTGGGTATGAGGGATGTCAGGGGTGCCAGAGGTCCCAGAGACCTTTGAGTACAAACCTGCCATCCTTGAGGGGAGAAACTTGGCGTAACACCCCGGTGGTCAGCGGACTTTCGGAAATGCAGTTCGATGAGAAGCCAGGATTTCTGCCCTCTGTCCGCATCTTACATTTCTGTGCACCCACACTGACGAGAATGGTAATAAAGAAAAAGAGGAGGAAGGACTGCATTATCACCTACTTCCATTTGCTGAGAGCATCTCACTGCTTCCAGGGACCCCTGAGCTTCCCCTTGGAGAAGGTGGTGTGACTTGTGGTTGGGGGCACATTTGGGGCCGGAGACCTCAGGCTGGTTCTAGTGTTATCTCCCTGACCTGGAGGTGCTCTTGAGGTCCCACCAGTCCTCCGCCTCTTCCTTTGGGTGTCCCCAGCAGCACCTGGATGCCATTTCAGGGAGGACCACCCAGCACTGGATCTTGTTGTGTAACCACCCAGAACCCAGGAGCTGAGTATTTCCCTATGCACTCTGGTTCTGCACTGTCCAGTAAATCACTCACCAGTACTACCAGCTCTTTAGCCCTTGAAATGTGGCCGCTCCAAGTGGAAGTGTGCATTGAGTATGTGTTATACAAACTGGATTTTGAAGACAATATGGAGACAAAGTAACATTTCTCATTCATATATTTTTATATAATTACATGTTGAAATGATAATACTTTGATATATTAAACTGAATATCACTAAAATAAAAATTTTTTGATTTAGTAATGTTTGTAATGAAAATTAAAACAATGCACTGGTTCACATTATACCTCTAGTGGACAGCGCTGGTAAAGAGTATACATCTAAAAGCTTTTCTCCATGTAACCTTTAAAGTAAGATGCAAAATTCCTTTCTTCTACAAAAACATGAAAGATTGTCGTAAGGGCTGCACCCAGGCAATTTTCACAGGTACATGCTTGTTATCAATCTTCTGTTCCATGTGCACTGAATTCTAGGTCTGTGGCAAATGATATCAGCACCGTTTGTGATTTCTGGAGTCCAGGGAGAAAGAAAAAGACAGCGCTCTCCAGCATTCCTGTCACTGTTGAAAACAGACCAAGTCACGTTGCTCCTCCTTCATTATACTCTTGAGACCCTTACAAGAACATACGTCTTTTTTTGTAAAAGTGAAGACCGGATCTTCAGGGCTGGCATCAGAGGGAGATCTCCTAGTGAGGAGATTCAACAGGACCCAAATTTAATTCCCTTCACCTTCTTCTTGGGGGTGGGAGGTGTCTTGATAATCATCCTTACACCCACCACACCATTTGCAGGAGGGCACTGGGCCCCTTCCACACAGGCACAGGAGTGGAATGGGATCCTTTCTGGACACTTCAGCACAGCCCATCTGAGACAGGAGCATTACAATAAAAAAGTTACCGGGTGGGGGCAAAAGAAACGCCTGAAGTACAGGCATACCTGGGAAATGTTGCAGGTTCAGTTCCAAACCACCACAATTAAGTGAATATTGCAATAAAGTGAGTCATATAAATTTTTGGTCGCCCACTACATATAGAAGTTGTTTACATTATACTGTAGTCTATGAAGTGCACAACAGCATTATGTCTGAAAACCACAATGTACATAGCTTCATTAAAAAATGCGTTATTGTGGCTGGGCATGGTGGCTCACGACTGTAATCCCAGCACTTTGGGAGGCTGAGGCGGGCGGATCACAAGGTCAGGAGTTTGAGATCAGCTTGGCCAATATGGTGAAACTCCATCTCTACTAAAAATACAAAAATAGCAGAGCGTGGTGGCAGGCACCTGTAGTCCCAGCTATTCAGGAGACTGAGGAGGGAGAACCGCTTGAACCCAGGAGGCAGAGGTTGCAGTGAGCCGAGATCGTGCCACTGCACTCCAGCCTGGGGGACAGATCGAGACTCCGTCTAAAAACAAACAAACAAACAAAAAAACTTTATTGCTAAAAATGCTAATGGTTATCTGGGCTTTCAGGTCATAATCTTTTTGCTGGTAGAGGGTGTTGTCCCAGTGTTGACTGCTGCTAACTGATCAGGGTGGTAGTTGCTAAAGGTTGGACTGGCTGTGGCAATTTCTTAAAATAAGACAACAATGAAGTCTGCTGCATTGATTTACTTTCTTTCAGGAAAGATTTCTCTGTAGCATGTGATGCTGTTTGACAGAATTTTACCAATAGTAGGACTTCTTTCAAAATTGGAGTTAAACCTCTCAAACTCTGCCATTACTTTACCAACTAAGTTTATGATATATTCTAAATTCTGTGTTGTAATTTCAACAATATTCACAGCATCTTTAGTAGGAGTAGATTCCATCTCAAGAAACCGCTTTCTTCACTCATCCATAGGAAGCAATTCCTCATCCATTAAAGTTTTACCATGAGATTGTAGCAATTCAGTCACAACTTCAAGCTCCACTTCAAATTATATTTCTCTTGCTATTTCCACCACATCCACAGTTATTTCCTCCACTGATGTCTTGAACCCCTCCATGAAGGGGTTCAAGTCATCCATAAAGGTTGGAATCAACTTCTTCCAAGCTCCTGTTAATGTTGGTGTTTTGACTGCCTCCCATGAATCACAAATGTTCTTAATGGCATCTAGAATGGTAAATCCTTTCCGGAAGGTTTTTAATTTACTTTGCCCAGATCCATGAGAGGAATCACTACCTATGACAGCTATAGCCTTACAAAATGTATGTCATAAACAATAAGACTTCAAAGTCAAAATGACTCCTTGATTCATGGGCTGCAGAATGAATGTGTGTTAGCAGGAATGAAAACAGTAATCTTCTTCCATGTCTCCATCAGAGCTCTTGGGTGATTCAGTCTTTTGTCAATAAGTAATAATATTTTGAAAGGAATCTTTTTTGCTGAGAAGCAGTGTGCTTAAAATACTCAGTCAACCATGCTGTAAAAAGATGTGTTGTCATCCAAGCTTTGTTGTTCCATTTAAAGGACAAAGGCAGAGTAGATTTAGCATAATTCTGAAGGGCCCTAGGATTTTTAGAATGATAAATGAGCACTGGCTTCAACTTAGCTCACCAACTATATTAGCCCCTAACTAGAGGGTTAGTCTGTCCTTTGAAGCTTTAAAGCCAACCACTGACTTTTGCTCTCAAGCTATAAAGTCCTAGATAGCATCTTCTTCCAGTAGAAGGCTATTTTGTCTACATGCAAACTTTGTTGTCGAGTGTAGCCACCCTCCTCAGTGGTCTTAGCTAGATCTTCTGGATTACTTGCTGCAGCTTCTACATCAGCACTTTCTGCTGCACCCTGTGCTTCCAAGCTACGGAGATGACTTCTTTTCTTAAATCACATAAACCAACCTCTGCTAGCTTCAAACATTTTTTCTGCAGTTTCCTCACCTCTTTCAGCCTCCATAGAATTGAAGACTATATCAGCATTGTGTGTCCACTGGAATAGAACTTCTAATTTCCTTCAGGAACTTTTCCTTTGCATTCACAAGTTGGCTACTTGGTGCAAGAGGCCTAGCTTTCAGCCTGTTTCAGCTCTTGACATGCCTTCCTCGCTAAACTTAGCTTTTGAGTTAAAATGAGTGATATATAACTCTTCCTTTAACTTGAACACTTATAGGTCATGTAGGGTTACTAACTGGCCTAATTTCATTATTGTTTGTTGTGTGTCAGGGAATAGAGTGGGAAACAGATGAGAGAATGGAGGGTAAGGCAGTCAGAACATACATTTATTGATCAAGTACACCATCTTGTATAGGCATGGTTATTGGCACCCTATAGTACAACAGTAACATCTAAGATCACTGATCACAGATCACTGTAACAGTTTTTTATTTTATTTATTTTATTTATTTTTGAGATGTAGTCTCGCTCTGTCGCCCAGGCTGGAGTGCAGTGGCGCCATCTCGGCTCACTACAAGCTCTGCCTCCTGGGTTCACGCCAGTCTGCCTCAGCCTCCCGAGTAGCTGGGACTACAGGCGCCCACCAGCATGCCCAGCTAACTTTTTTTGTATTTTTAGTAGAGACGGGGTTTCACTATGTTAGCCAGGATGGTCTCGATCTCCTGACCTCGTGATCCACCTGCCTCGGCCTCCCAAAGTGCTGGAATTATAGGCGTGAGCCACCGTGCCTGGCCAACAGTTATTTATTAATGAAAAAGTTTGAAATATTGTGTGAATTACCAAATGTGACATAGAGATAAAAAGTGAGCACATGCTGTTGGAAAAAAAATGGCACTGATAGACTTCCTTGATACAGGGTTGTCACAAACCTTCAATCTGTAAAAAACTCAATACCGAAAAAGAGCAATAAAGTGAAGTACAAGAAAATAAAGTGTGCCTGTAATATGAATGTGCAAAATATAGTGGTTTTTGAGATCTTTTTTGGTTATTTTATTATTCATTTTAACTTTTTATTATAATACATTTTGAACATAAAAAGTAGAGAAAATAGTATACCAAACCCTCATTTATTCATCACCCACATCCAGTCCTTACTTTTAAAATTTTGTTAATAGACACATAACAATTATATGCATGTATGGGGTATATGTCATATTTTGAGACAAGCATGCAAGGTGTAATGATCAAACCAGGGTATTTAGGATATCTCTCACCTCAGTCATTTATCTTTCTCTTATGCTAGGAACATTTAAAATTTTCTCTTCTAAATGGATAAATTTCTAGACACATACACCCTCCCAAGACTAAACCAGAAAGAGGTCGAATCCCTGAATAGACCTATAACAAGTTTAAAATTGAGGCAGCAATTAATAGCCCATCAACCAAAAAAAGTCCAGGACCAGACAGATTCACAGCCGAATTCTACCAGAGGTACAAAAAAGAGCTGGTAACATTCCTTCTGAAACTATTCCAATCAATAGAGAAAGAGGGATATCTCCCTAACTCATTTTATGAAGCCAGCATTATCCTGATACCAAAGGCTGACAGAGACACAACAAAAAAAGAAAATTTCAGGCCAATATCCCTGACGAACATCAATGTGAAAATCCTCAATAAAATCGGACTGGCAAACTGAATCCAGCAGCACATCAAAAAGCTTATCCACCATGATCAAGTCGGCTTCCTCCCTGGGATGCAAGGTTGGTTCAACATACACAAATCAATAAACGTAATCCATCACATAAAGAGAACCAATGACAAAAACCACATGATTATCTCAATAGATACAGAAAAGGTCTTCGACAAAATTCAATAGCTCTTCAGGCTAAAAACTCTCAATAAACTAGGTACTGATGGAACACATCTCAAAATGATAAGAGCTATTTATGACAAACCCACAGCCAATATCATACTGCATGGGTAAAAGCTGGAAGCATTCCCCTTGAAAACCGGCACAAGACAGGGATGCCCTCTCTCACCACTCCTATCCAACATAGTATTGGAACTTCTGGCCAGGGCAATCAGACAAGAGAAACAAATAAAGGGTATTCAATTAGGAAAAGAGGAAGTCAAATTGTCTCTGTTTGCAGATGACATAACTGTATATTTAGAAAACTCCATTGTCTCAGCCCTAAATCTCCTTAAGCTGATAAGCAACTTCAGCAAAGTCTCAGGACACAAAATCGACATGCGAAAATCATAAGCATTCCTACACACCAATAACAGGCAAACAGAGAGCCATATCATGAGTGAACTCCCATTCACAATTGCTACAAAGAGAATAAAATACCTAGGAATACAACTTACAAGGGAAGTGAAGGACCTCTTCAAGGAGAACTACAAACCATCAATCGCTCAAGGAAATAAGAGAGGACACAAACAAACGGAAAAACATTCCACGCTCATGGATGGAAAGAATAAATATTGTGAAAATGGCCATACTCCCCAAAGTAATTTATAGATTCAATGCAGAAAGCTGAAACTGGGTCCTTTCCTTACACCTTATACAAAAGTTAACTCAAGATGGATTAAAGACATAAACGTAAGACCTAAGACCATAAAAACCCTAGAAGAAAGCCTAGGTAATACCATTCAGGACATACATATGGGCAAAGACTTCATGACTCAAACTCCAAAAGCAATGGCAATAAAAGTCAAAATTGACAAATGATATCTAATTAAACTAAAGAGCTTCTGCACAGCAAAAGAAACTATCATCAAAGTGAACAGGCAACCTACAGAATGGGAGAAAATTTTTACAATCTATCCATCTGACAAAGGGCTAATATCCAGAATCTACAAAGAACTTAAACAAGAAAAAAACAGCCCCATCGAAAAGTGGGCAAAGGATATGAACAGACACTTCTCAAAAGAAGACATTTATGCAGCCAACAAACATATGAAAAAAAGCTCATCATCACTGGTCATTAGAGAAATGCAAATCAAAACCACATTGAGAAACCATCTCATGCCAGTTAGAATGGTGATCATTAAAAAGTCAGGAAACAACAGATGCTGGAGAGGATGTGGAGAAACAGGAATGCTTTTACATTGTTGGTGGAAGTGTAAATTAGTTCAACCATTGTGGAAGACAGCGGTGATTCCTCAAGGATCTAGAACTAGAAATACCATTTGACCCAGCAATCCCATTACTGGGTATATACCCAAAGGATTATAAATCATTCTACTATAAAGACTCACGCACACCTATGTTTATTGCAGCACTGTTCACAATGGCAAAGTCTTGGAATCAACCCAAATGTCCATCAATGATAGACTGGATAAAGAAAAAGTGGCAAATATACACCATGGAATACTATGCAACCATAAAAAAGG